AGATCTCGTGACAATTATCAGGATATTCTTGCAGGAATTTCTTTGTTTTTTTTGAAAGATTATGATAAAAAGAGATATTATTGGAGTGATTAGTGATAATGTTGGTGGAACGAGTTGTAAACATATTTCTGTCTGTATCATTGTTAATGAAAGATGCTATTACGTCTACATCAGCTAGAATGGACTTGATTGGAAGGTTCTTGTTGACAATCCGCTCAACACTAAACTTTTGACCTAAAGAAGGAAATCTAGAAACTATATCAGGAATGTCAACATTACTTTCTTAGTCCGGTTGTCACGCAAAGTTATCACAGAGTCATCCAACAATCTGCCAAACTTGTGTATGTTAGACTTTTTAATATTATGGAACAAAGTGTTGTAATGCCTTAACTGCATGGACTGAAAATTATTAAAAATTAATGGAGTTTTAACTGTTTATGACAGGAAGAGATCTCAAGTGACAAAAGCCTTGCATCTAACCTTTGTATTGAAGAATTAAGCCAGTCTTTCGCCAGGTGGTTGTGTAAAATGTGATTGATGGATCCCAGATGATTGGTGATGTGCGGTGGTATCAAGCCTGGACGTATGTATCCCATGTTGATGCTCGATGTTGCGGAAGAAACCCAAATCTGTAGATTGTGTGCGATTCATAGTTATGTCGAAATAACTAGACAAATGGACGACTCGTCTTTGGAGAAATCGACAAATTATGCTAAGTGTACCCTTTTGACTTACAACTCAAGCTTTCGACAGTCTAAGCTGATATCATCAGGAGCTAAAAACAAATTTAGAAATAATAAATAGCGACCATACTCAATTGATTGGAGTTTTTTTACTTACTCCGTCAATGAGGTTGGTGCTAGAATTTGATGTTGTAAAATGTGTACGGGTGCAAAACATAGCTATGTTTTACTGATAAAATACAAACGGATTAGGACAAACGTTATTAATTAAATAAATGATGAAACTTTTCTCTGTCACATCTTGAAATAACCTCAAAATGCTAACGTGGTCGGAAGCTTAGAATTGATGTGTGAAATTGGTACTATTGACATTCAAGTTGTTAGGTGAATTGGTTTTTGTTTCATCTGTTAAAAAACACGCATGGGGTCATTCCTCGAAATTACGATGCTTTCCCACATTATGTTGCTAATAATAAACCAGTAAGATAGGCACGCACTGCCTTCCACTCACGATAAACTCACACATAGAGGCGCCCACAGGTGCCCACACTAGCACAAAACCCGCGGTTACAAAACTTTCTTTCAATAAATTTGTATCTACCTAATTCGAGGACAACTTTCGCCATAAAACTAAGTTTGCGTTTACTCTTGAATGAAAGCTAATCGTGACATGCTTAAGCAATGGCACCCCATACCATGACACCCACAGTGCGAATATGGCGCTCGATGGAATATTAGACGTCTTTCACCCCATCTCCTCCTTACTCTTGCACGGCCATCATGTGTGCCCAAACATAATCTGCACTCATCGCTGAACACAACATTTCATATTCAATTCAAGTCTCTCCGTACTCCATGCCAATCGTTGATGCGTTATTCCACGATGAGCTGTCCTCCGACAGCGTAAAACCACTGGTAAAAAATAAATATCGCCCAAACTTCGATTTTGGACGTTTCAGGGGTTCGAAAACATTTTTTTTAAATATAAAGGTAAAAAGACTTGGGGATCATTAATTGTTTGATGTTGGTACATTTATACGCTCCTAATCTTGGTAATTCTACACAAACATTAAACATATTTCAAATATCAAAAGTTGCTGCGTATGCTGACCCTTAACACCTAAAATAAATAAAAAGATTCTCAGCAGACGGATCGCGTACCTACCGGCCGCGTTGTTCCCGTGCCGTTGGCCCTGTTCCACGTCACAACACACGCAGCCTCGTCTAACCGGGTCAGGGACAAGTGACGTTGTCAGATGCATGACCTTTAGGGCAGAGAAAGGATGTATATTGTCTAATTGTATGGTCCTGTTTGATGGACATTTTCTTCAGAGGGTTCAGTTTGTGCTGAATATAATCCTTTTTGCACTGATAACGGCGTTGCGTGATAAGTGCAGAATCCGTCTGGTTGACGCCATTTTTTTAAATCTTGAGGGTGTCCATTTTTTAGTTCAGCATCTACCAAATTGTTTCTTCAAATTTATTCATACCATTAATGTGTAACGAACTCAAAAGAGTGGAAAAATCGATCAGAATCTCGTTCTCGTCGGCTTCATTGAATAAAATGAACCGTGATCGAGTGAACGGTCCACGTCCGTCACATTTCACTTCACACTCAAGAATGGAGTCACGTGGTACAAAACATACAACTTAGGCCGTAGTATCTATGAATGGCCTCCGCTAGTGCCATCTTTGAAGCAGATGTTACATTATTGTCATACACACATCACATCAAAGCACATATCTGACTTTTATGCATTATACACAGCTTCTGCAAGTCAATAGTAGGTAGTATATTGTAGAAATGAAAGCAAATGCGAGTGTCAGATTGCATCTGACCGTCAAGTTAGCCTTCGTTTTGTAGTTATGTAATAAGGGTGACCCGGTCGTGGCTACTTCTCCACCGGGTATCTGTCTTTGAAGTGATTCAGTTAAAGCAACAGTATTAATCACTTTATAATTGATATTGTACGAATTCATCGTCAGGCATGTATGTTTGCGTACAAGGTGTTACTTTCATCCATTACTGCACATAATATTGTGAACTTATTAAGAGTCTTCGGTAAATAAATAAAATACCACATTATGTTGATTGACAGATTGGGATATACTCGTATTTGGTTTATATGTTACTTATACGCTTCTCTTTCAGTTAATGTTTTCAATAAAAAAACTAGTCTACGAGCCCCTTTCCACTTCAGTTGGCCCACTTCCACATTTGTACCAAAATATGCCTTTATAAACTAAACATGGCGAAAACTATTTACTTCTAAAACAATTTATTTTCTCAAAAATATTTTAGATGCACCTAGTCATAAAAAATACATATTTGAAATCACTTATTTACCTATAACTAATAGAAAATCTGAACAAATAAACAATGTGCGAATAAACGCGCGAAGTTAACAAAGCAACAATTGAAAGATTACCATTGGGTAACATCACCTTTATTTTTTATTACGGCTGAAATTCTTTGGGGCATAGTGTTAACCAAGTTTTGGCAAAAATTTGGTGTAAAACAATCCCATATTTCTTGAAGCTTTTGTCTCAGTTCGGTGATTGTACGAGCAGGATGTTGTCGTAGAACCTTTTTCATCTCGTGCCACAAAGTTTCAATAGGTGACAGATCTGGACTGCTAGAAACCCATTTCAAAAGTGGTACATTATTTTCTTCCATCCATTTTATAGCCTTTTTGAGGTATGGCACGCTGCACCATCTTGATGAAACACAAAATCTTGGCCGGATGTCAACCATTCTTCCATCTCTGTTAAAAGCGATTCTTCTAAAATTGCCAAATATTTGTTTGTAACCACATTTCCATCAATAAAATGAAGTTTTCCTACTCCTTTTGATGACATACTGCCCCAGACCATAATGGATGCTGGAAATTTCACTTTTCTCTTCAGACAGTCAACATGGAATGCTTCATTTTTTCTGCGAATAACTACTGCGACTGTCACCAACACAAACTTCGAATCGGGCCTCATCACACCATTGTATTGCACACCATTGTTGAGGTGTCCATTGTCTATGTTCTTTAGCCCATTTAAGCCGATTTTTCTTTTGCAGTGGAGTTAATAGTGGTTTTTCTTTGGCCTATAAACAGGTTGTGCAACTTTAGAGTTTTTACTTCACTTTTTTTATAAGAAAACTTACCTTACAAGTGCTAAATCCCAGTTTGTGGGCCTCTCTATGAGTTGTGGACCTCGAAATTCTCCTTCCAACAGTGTCACTCCACAGAGCACTTAATTTTAAATAATTGGCACGTCTGTTTTTTACGATTATTCTTATTAATGCTCTTCGGTCGCCATTTGTGATATTACTTTTTTTCACATATCGTGGCTTAATATTAACTGAACCAGTTACGTTATATCTTCTAACAATATTTCTCACACTGTACCGCGATAAGTCTAACAAAATTGCAATTTCTGGGTTTGATTTCCCAAAATTAAAAAATTTATTTTCAGTAACAGAATTTTCTCACTAATGACCTTTCCTCTACCCATTTTGAAAACCTTATCTACCCAAAACTATTTTAAACGTATTCTGACAGCTGTGAGTAATAAAAACAATTGTCAACGCTTTTCTTTTTCACAGCCACCTATGCGTTATAGACTTATTTTGCATTGAAATGTTAAAATATGTTGATATGCTGTAATTGCAACATGTGTTATTTTTATGCTGCAAATTTGATTAGGGAGTGATTAAGTTGGTGTTTTCTACTATATATTATCAAAATATTCATTGTTAATATTTTAAACCTATAACACCCTGCTACATTTTTATTATTTGTGTTTGATAAGAAAAAAACTAAGATTTCAATAGTTGGGCCAACTAAAGTGGGAGGATTTATATTTCATATACTAGTACTTTAGTAAGCTCTTTCACAACCTCAAAATGGGACGAAATCGGGTTGAAGTCGAACTACCGTCTTTGGTCGAGTAGTACCTAAGGGCACATTATTTCAGTTCGTAGAAGTCTCAGGATATCAGAACATTCGTAATAATGCACGTCCCTGGTAATAAATTGATTCATAAACAAATGTGGTGCAGATGTAGGTAACTCTAGGAAATGAGTGTCCGGTGGTGTCCTTCAATGGCTTGTATCTCCATAGTGGAGATTGGTAAGACATTTTCTTATAAAAACTTGTCACATAATTTTTTGTCCTTTATTCGAGAGATTAGCCACATCCACTTTATTACTTTATATGTAAATAAAACGTAATTCCTTAATCTTTTTTTAAGCCAGCGCTATAATTATCCTTAAGTCGAAACAAACTTGTATGAATATCAATAATCATTTTCCTCTCTCAACAGCTGGCCTTTTTAAACACAGCAGCTCAACAGTACCAAACAAAACAGCAACTAACGACGAAACGCACAATGCAAAGCATCACCTCCTCAACAGTTTGATCGGCCATGGTGCTGGTAACCTGAATACAACCAACAAGACCTTACACACCCTGGACAAGTCACCTTCAGGCAAACTGAATAGCTCAATTCCCCCTACAGCAACAAGTAGAGATGGGAGAGATCACACTATAAAAGAGATAGTGAAGCAAGCCAGTGAAGCTGCAGCAGGGGCACCGGAGGAGTGCACTCCTCCAGCTATTAAACAGGTAAACACTTTAGTTTGGTGGTTGAAACAATAGAAAGACGTGATATTTTTGTTTTGGCCTTTATTTTAAAGAAAACATCATTTTCATCCGAAATATAGGGTCTTTCAAATTCGACCCTCACCTTTAGGATCTCGTAAATTGTAAGAGACACAAGTGTCGCTGGGGGCAAATTGCGTATTTGGTTAATAGACAAAATGCCGCTTGGAAAGTTTCGAAACACAAAGTACTTCCGAAGAGGACGGAAAGAACTAAATTTTCCCAAAATCGTTTTAATTGTTTCCTGACTTTATTTGTGGTGGGATTTCAAAATAAATTCAACATCAAATATCCACTTTTGTTCCTCTACAAAATGGAATAATTAGAATTTCAGTATGACGATTCATCTCCTGTTCTCCAACATCAGCTTTATTTCTTATAAAAGACGCCATACTGGATTTTTGCACAGACGAATAGCATATTTAATTCTGATTCTGAATGTATACTTGATACATTGATGTTGCCAAACCTTAGTTATTTCAAAAATATAGAATTTTCTAGGTGGGCTTTGAAATTATTAGACAGTCACTTGTTTCACCTGCCAGATTTGTCCCAAAATCATTTTCAATTTTTCCTCACTTTATTTGCCACTTTTTCTCTTCTACAAGACGGCATGATTAGAATTTCAATATAAGGTTTCGTCTCTTGTTCTCCAGCATTAGCTTTACTGTTTCTTTTGGACGCCATATTGACATTGCAATTCCATAAAAACCGAAGTTCTTAGGTCGGCCTTGAAATTATCAGATTTCATTTGTTTCGTATTCCAGACCAGACCTCGAATTGAACATAGCAACAGAGTTTGGAAGACTGAGAAGAGGAAAAATAAATCGAAATAAATGAAGAGAAAATGATCAAAGTAGGGAAATAATGGGCAAAATGACCCAACAAGAACCAACCTACACATTGTGGTATAAAATGTATGCTAAAGAATATTTGTTTTGGGATTTATTTATCTCCTGAATCACAATCTTAGGCATGTTTTCCAATAGTTTTTTTAACCAAACCTTGTACTGATCAGCATTACCATCCAGAGCAGTTCCTACTAGATATTGTCCAAATTTTGGTTGAGTACTTGGAGTATTTTCAATAGGGTAACCTTTGTTCACGGTTAATGATGATAATATCCTAAATGGTATTTTGTTACTGGATTCACAATAGGTTTTATTGTTTATTTCATGCAATGTCCAGTGAGTGACATACATTATTAATAATAATTTATCGTGGTTGGTTAAATATATAAACAGGATGCTCACCAACAATTCATCTGTAGGTACCTCAAGAATATTATTTAGCCACCTCTCGCTGTTCAATGATCGACTTTGATATCTACGTTGTTTCGCCATTTATATATTGACCACCCAAAGTACATTACTCACTGCACAGGCGCACCAAACTACTCAAAAACATACAGCTGGATTTGAACAAACCCGTTTGAGTTTCTGGGAAATCCACAATCAATCCTCGCCTCTTTACTGCAAAGCCAACCCTTTAGCATAGGGCTTGATCAGTACTGCGATGTTAGATGTGTTTGACCTGTGAATTGTCATAATCAGGTGCTTTTATTAGTCTGGCTGGATCAAACAGGGGCTGTATTTGGATTGCTGAAAACTGGGGCTTTTATATCCCGGAAGCTGCTAGATTCATGGGGTCCACGGGTCGAAACTGCCATTTATAACAAACCAATAATAACTGGTAGTCGATCCCCATAAGATTGCGGCGTCCTTTGGTTTTACGAGACTTGGCGAGTGCTACCATGTCGCAAAAATTGGAGTTGGCGTTGAGGACCATAAAGTAGGCAGCCTACATAGCTTGGGTAATCCCTGATAGCTGATTCGTAGCCCATGAACGCTAACACAATGAGAGTATGGAGAAGGCAGCACAAAGAAAGACTATTAATAAATGTTTAATTGAACATAGCCTTAGCTTAACCATACTTGTTCTGACAACGCATGCAATCCAATGCATAAGCCGATCAGTGAAGGACCGGCTTACTACGGATCCCGTACTTATATCTGAAGCTCCATAGGAAAGCTCTTTATTTCATCCGAACAGGACTCGACAGCTCTCTTCATGTCCTATTGATTTTACCTTCCGCCATTCGTTGCTCGTTGGTATAGTGGTTTTCTCGTTTATTTGCATTTCTATAGCTTATCCATTACTACAAATAAAGGAGGAATAATAGAAAGAAACTACCGCATCTTCAGATAATTCAAGTAAATGTCAGCAATCGTACGAGTATGTCTGTAACACAGAAATATGAAAAGCCCTATAAATAAGTAGTAGGAGAGCCTTAGATGGTGAATGGGTAGTTACTCGAGCGTCGCAGGGACTTATTGGGTTTTGAAAGTTAGATCGCAGATATAAAAAAAAGTTATATAATGTACCCTTTTAGTGGTGTGGGAAACGTCCACAGGTTTTCAAAAATATAAAAAGCGCGTTATACTCGTATATTGATATTGAGGGATTGTAATTTGGTGGTTTGTATTGGGTGGGCCATTAATGAAGGGCACCATCTCTATCTCGACACCCAGTGAACCTAGAGCTATCGGTTAAAAAAAACAAAAGTGGCGAAAGGAAATAGCTGTAATTTATTTCCAACTCCCTAAAATAGCCGCCAGAAAGCGCTACTCCAATCTCAAAACTACAAATGCCGTTATTTCGAAAACTTTAAATGCAATGATTAGCATTTTTCATTATTCAAAATAGAGATATCTCAAAAACCGCGAACAACCGAATAAGCACATAAATGGTTTTTCTGAAATGAACCCTTAACACCTCCCTTTGTTAGATAAAATTCTCTTTATTTTGAAAACCTATATCCATAATTATCTATTCAGGTAAATGTGGAACGCGACATTAATCTTAACGTAACAAAGGTATGCGTGAACATAAAGATTATGTAAATTTTGCATAAAAAATGTTTATTAAGCTAGATATGTACACATTTCTCTTGTTCAATGGATCGTAATAATAATTAATAACTGAAGCCGTGGTAACCAAAACGACGTCAACGAAAAGTAATTCAAGCAACAATCATGGAATCCTATGAAACTGTCATGTTTTTCAGTTCCCGCATCCAGTGATGTCGCCGTCCACTAGACGACATGGCGGTCTAGTGATACACGTCATAGTAGCTGTGTATATGTTCCTGGGGCTGGCAATTGTTTGTGACGAGTATTTCGTCGCCTCGCTGGATAGGATCTGTGAAGGTGAGGCTGTATTAATTTAAGTTATGGTGAAATTGGTGTATTCTAAATCGCTTAGTTTGACTCCTGGACGCAGCAATGCAACGGAAATCTAGAATTAGAATTCCCGAAGAAAATTGTTATATAGACAAAGTTCACATCGGAATAATATTTTTGAGAATAAATGAAGAAAAAGTCCCTCATCTGGAGGTATAAAAAAGAATGGTCGCCAACATTTTTATGAAGCGACAAGGCTGAAAAAGCCACGTTTTCGCATATCTTGTAGGAAATGAAAATACCGATTCGGACTAATTAATATTCTTTTGAAAAAATGCCCTTTCATCATTATTAGTATACATGACAGAGGAGTTGAGCAAAGGCTATAAACTCCAAGCAAAGATAAGAAATTGAACATAAAAAATAATAAGGGTGATGTCATAAAAAACTAGAGTAAATCGATTCTTGAACCTGTTGACAGTGGACGCATTAACAACGTCGTAGGGCAGCCTATTCCAGGTAACAAATACTCGGTTATACTGGAAAACGTGGCGAACTTGTCGAACAGTTCAGCGAGGTAACCGCTGTAGCAATTATATGATACAGGGTAGGCCATCGAGGTGGAAACTTAATTTTGCTTCCAAACAAAAACTTTATATATTATTCGGGTAGACCATTTTAAAAGAAAAAGACTGGTAAACACCTTGCCAGACGGAGTAGTGGAATTATGCGTAAAAAAATATAATCCGTAATTTCAGTCTAGTTCATTTTTTTTTCAATTTTTTATTTTTTATGCGGAGTAACGGAAAACGCAAAATGTACCGTTTCTCCAAAAAATTCGATAGAAAACCCTCCATACTTTAAAGCTTTTCCATTTCACTTTCTATAAGCTTTTCCTCATTATAAAGGTCAAAAAACTTCTGCCACTAGTTTCAGCTATATCCAAATTCTTTTATTAAATATTGCATTGAACTGCACAACAGGGGTATGAAAATATCACATGACCCATGCAAACAAAAAGACGAGTATTAGATTAGTTACAACCTGTCATTCAGGACATGGGAAATAGAATCCATGTAGTATGTTTTGATTAGGAAGTACTTGACGATGGAGACGTATGTGCGATATGTGCTGATAATTTCATTGTTAATAGCAAAGTAATAAAGTGCAAACTGTGTGCTAAAATACAAATATTAGATCCCGTGAGTGTTGGATTGGATCTAATCTGCAAGCACCTAAGTGTGTTTGATGAAATCAGATCTGGTTTTGTAATAACTGCAAGCAAGCAAGAAACCCTAGCGTCACTAAATGACAGCTAAATATCAATGGTAATAGTAAGTCGCATATTTTGATACTGCAAAGAGAAATCGAATGACTCAATATAGAGAAAGATATGCAGGCTAAATTGATTAGCGAGCTCGAGTCTTCCTTAGAGTTACAGAAATCCAAATGCAGTGTGTTACGAAAAGGGCTGAACCAGACAAAAAGTGCTGTCGCTCCGTTAAAGAACATTGCTGACACAAACATATATACGAGGGATATCTTTTAAGTTTTGCATATGGAAATAAAACAACACGGTAGGTAGCTTTAAATGACTTTATTGTTTTTCGAAGTATTCTCCACGAAGATTAATACACATCTGCATGCGCTCGACCCAATTTTCGAAGCACTTATTCCACTCGTTTGCCGGCAGATCCAAAACGGCATTTTTGAATACTGCTTCTTCTGGTGACTGGAACCTTTGACCACGCAGTCTGTTTTTAATTTTCGGGAAAGTAAAGAAATCGTTAGGACTTAGATCGAGACTCTATGGAGGATGGTCCAATAATTCCACGTTTTCTTTCGTTAAATACTGCCTTGTTCTTTGGGCTGAGTGCGAGCTTGCATTATCTTGGTGGAGGATGATTCTTCTTTCGGGGTTGATTTTTCGAAGCTCGGTGATGACTTTTGGCAAATAAATGGTGGTATACCGATCCGCAGTAACATTTTTTTGCTCATTAAGAGGAATTTTTGCAATATGACCCGCTTTTGACACAAATGTCGCGACCATCTTTTTCGAAACACTTCGAGAACGGATGACTTTTGCTCCCTTTTCTTCACCTTGGAACACTCAAACAGCCGACTGTCGTTTGTTTTCTGGTTCATAACAGTAAATCACCAGTAACAATGCTGTACACATTTTTTGAGTTTCCGGAATAGAAACGGTCAAGCGTTTTTTGACACCAATTAACCCTGGCTGCTTTCTGCTCTTCAGTCAACAGGTGGGGTATCCAACGAGAAACTAATTTTCTTACTCCTACACCCTGGGATCGTCGCTAAGACTCACCCGTCCACGTTTGAATTCTCCATACCAATTGGAAATTGTCGACGCTTCGTTGCCTAAAACAGACAGTAACTCAGCAAGGCATTCTTGTTGCGATAATTGTCTCTGAAAGTTGTGATAAATTATGGCGCGAAAATGTTCTCGGTTGAGTTCCATTTTTCTAATGACTTGGTGACACTTAAAAATTCACTGTAGTGAGAACACTCTACGTATTGTTGTGAAACTTTGAACTTAAGTTTACTAAAGAGTGAGGTTAAGATTCAGTACTGACGTTCGATCCTCGCGGCCTACTATGTTTCTATATGCAAAACATAAAAGACATCCCTCGTAGTCAGGTATTACAGAAAACTGTATGTTAAACAATGTGGAATCGTCTGTTCTACTTGTGATATCAGCTGGTAGGAATAATCTTGAGAATATGCTACAAGTATTGTCAAAAACAATTATGCCTTCTCGTATAAATATATGCATTGGTGGTACGGAGAAAATTAGAGAAGGGGTCGCTGTGTACTACAAGGGAGATGAAGATGTGACAAAACTCAAAAATGCTGTCAATGCTGAACTAAATGGCCGTTTAACTAAAAAAGTACAACCCCTAGTGAGAAATGTGAATTTCACTAACGATATGAAGGATGACAAGCTGTTAAGTGACATCGTGAGATTGAATGGCATGGATAAAAATGCGGATTCAAAAGTTATACCAAAATTGAAAAAAATCGTCAGATAGTTCTAGAAGTATCCCCTGATTTACGCAAGAAGCTACGCAAGAGAGTATGTATGGTTGGGTTGGAGAAAGTGTTCTATTGTTGATCATCTGCGGATAATCGAGTGCTTCAGATGCTGTAAGTTCGGACATAGTGCTAAGCAATGCAAATCGTCTACCTCTGTGTGCATCAAATGCTCAAGAGATCATATGGCGAACCAGTGCGAGGTCGCAAGTGATCAGGTGAAATGTGTACATTGTGTGAATTATGTTTGTAAACCGAAGTCACCCGTCCAAGTTAATCATGCTGCAAATGATACTCGTTGTCCGGCTTATATAAATTTTGTGCCCAATTTGAAAAGTAGAATTAACTTTGATTAGCAATTAGCTGAGCGTCTCGTCCTTTGTATACACATATATTTTTATTTTCAGTGTTTATTTTTTGGTAAACGTGCTAAGTGAATATGGAACGTCCCTGAAGTAAGCTTTGACGCATTTACAGACATGAAGGAAGATTTTGACATTCTTACTCTAAAGGAAACATCGCTATGCCATGATATCACAATGGATGTAGTTGACATTAAATATTTTAATTTTTTTCGCTAAACGCTAAACAGAGCTTCGTCTTTAGAGCAGATATGGCTAAAATTAAGGATTGATCATTTTGCTGAGGGTATATTGTATCGTCCTTCTCCACATAGTCTAGTGCAGGGTTTCCCAGCCTTTTTTTTTGTTGAGTCTCCCAGGACTATAAATTATATTTTCATGCCCCTCTTTACTTTTTCAATAAATACAAAAAAATTATATAGGTACAAAGACTTTAATTTTAATTCTAATAAAGAAACTTTAACAGTTTAAATAAACTAATAAATGTTTTTTTATCTAAAAACTTGAATAAAATAAGAGTAGGTACTAATGAGACACTTGAGATTGCATGTTCTGTACCAGTTGGTTGATTCTAGGTTCTGTTTTTGCCAGAGCTATCTTCAGGTCGTTATCGACATCAAGATGATTTCGCTATTAGTTTTAAGTAAAACTAGAGCAGAAGAGCCTGTCTCACATAAGTAAGTTGAAGAAGTAGGAACTAGTATTCGTAAAGCAAGAGAGGCGAGTGTCGAATTAACTGGCAATCTTTTGATCAAAAATTTCTCCAATGTTAAAAGATAGAAGTCATCTTTCATGGACAAATCAGCCATCATTTCTAGAAATTCTTCCTGAACTTCTTCTGGTAATTGTGACACATCGACAACAAATGGATTTCTTGTCATATACCATATTGGTGACTCTAAATTGATGTCTCGATAGTATCAGCTAATTAGTCTTTCAGCGCTTGAAAATGAGTTTTTATGTCAGCTTGTCAATTTCCGTCCAGTATGTTATTTTTAATTGCCTCGAACAGCCGAGAAAAAGATATAACATTTTCAGAAGACACTTTTTGATTCCAAAGTTGATGCTTTGATATGAATCACTGAATATAAAAATAAATAAATTATTTAATTGAAAAAGTATTTATACTTCAACTCAAATTTTCAAAATTTTAATTTAACTTATATAATATATAATTGCTTTTTATAGTGTTGTTTCCGCCCTGAAGTTTCAAGTTTAGCTCATTCAAGGAGTCAAATATGTCAGTTAAATAAGCCAACCTCCATTGAAATCATCTTTCAACATTGTCAAGATATCGTGTTTTCTTTGAACTCAAGAAAAAGAATTACCTTTTCTTTCAACTCATAAAGGCGAGCCAATATGTTGCCTTTGGACAGCCAGCGTACTTCTGTATGGAACAGAAGAACTTTGTGATCAGAATCTAGATCCTCGCAAAGTAAAGTAAATAACCGACTGTTCAAAGCGCTGCTCTTGATGTAGTTTACAATCCTTATAGCCGAGTCCAAAGTCTGGCTTAATTTCTGTGGCAATGTTTTGGAAGCCAAAGCTTGCCGATGAATAACACAATGTGTACTAACCATTGCGGGATTTTTTTACTTGAGCTTTTTAGCTAAG